AGCCGCACCACACTTCACTCCACCAACTTTTCCACTTACACCAAGCTCTTTCCACCCTCATTCACCACAGCCAATACATTGAACGCGCCGAGGCCCTCTTTGCCGTGGGACTCATCCACATTACACTTCTATTTTGCTACCCCTCCTCCACACAACGTTCACAACAATGGCGTCAGCGGCTTCAGCACCTCCAGATACAACCACATACCTATCACTACCACAATTTTCTTTCTCCCAATGCTGTTTATGTCAAACTGTACTTCAACCCCACCACACCAAACCGCTGTTACCACCAGCATGGCCATTTCTATATCGGCTCCACTGGCATTGGCATCCCAACACAATCGTCGGGCCAAACTTAAACAGCTGCAGAACAACATTCCCATTTCAGCGGAACTGTCCCTCCGTTACTGGCATTCCCACAACAATATTCACCACTTCACACCCATTCAACTTTCTTCTCACGACACCTACGACCAAGCTTGGATCCAGGAACACTACCTCATCTCCAACTGGATGCCGCCTCTTAATTGGCCCTTCATCTCCCATCACCTCAAGCTAAAAGCTCAAGGTTGGCAATTCACAAAACACCGCGCCCATTTCTACTCTCGCCTGGCCACCCACAAGCGACTTTTCCGCAAGCTTCGCAGACGGCAACATGCCATTCAGGAACCACATCTCTTCACTTCAACACGACTACATGCCCTCACTCTCCTTCGCAATCTCACAAAGCACACACTGGCATCCTTTGAAGCAGCCAAACAACTGCGCAGCGGCAAACACACGGACCTCGAAGTCTACGCCATCCGACGAATGGCCTCCAACCTGTCTTCTTCAGCACACTGCCCTCCACTTCACATACTATCGGTATGTGGACAACCGTTTCATTGTCCACAACGAACACTTCCTCATCCACAACAATTTTTTCGGCGATCCCGTCGAATTGGAAACGGTGGATGACTTTCACCTTTTGGGCTTCAACATTGACCTCCAGCAACGCACCATCACCTACATGCAACCTACCCAACCCTGGAAAATCAGGGACCACACCAGCGCCGGTAGCCAGCGCTTGGCTCTTTCCGGCTTAGCTTCCAGACTCCATGCCATCTATACATACACTTTTCCACCCCACAACGCCACCGCTGCGGCTGAAGCACTGGTCCAACTATATGCCCAAAAAGGGCATGACCTGCATGCGTGCAGGCGGTTTTTGAGAAAAAGATCCGTCCTCCACCGCTTTGTCTTTGCGCCGACTGCGGCTTCTTGTGTGTGTCACACCCTGGTTCTAAGGGTTTTCCTTGTTCCCTTTTTCCACCTGTTCCACTGAAGCAGGGGCGTGTGACGCTCTTCTCCTATCACACGCAACGAAGCTGTGGAGAAGAGTGGGAAGGGAAACTTGGCCAGTTTCCTGTACCTGCGACGCAACTTTTGATCAAGCCGTTCCACTTTCTGCTTTTTGTTTCATGGTGTTTCATGATACTCCCCCCAAACCATTTCCTCCCCAGCAGCGATGCAGCTTGAGCCGCTTCGTCACCGCAGTCAAGGGAAACGATCATTGTTCAAACACCTACAATTCCGTGGACTTTTCACCATACGGTTCCATGCCATCCTTCCCAACGTGGCAACTGAGTCTAACTGAAAACCAATGTCGAAATGTCGAAGTGTGTGTGGAATGATAGGGAACCCAAGAGTGATACCAAACATTACGAGCATGCTTTGACCGCCACACATGTGTGTGCTCTCATGGGCTCGAGATAGCGCGGAAGTTCGCCGAAGGGGGATGGCCCCAGTGCCCAGTGCCTGCCAATTTCTGTAAGTTGGTTGCTCCCAACCTGGCAAACAGGAAGGGAGTAGGAAGGTGTACTTGTTAGTGTCCATGGAGGTTGGGGGAACATCATCTGGGAGGCACCTGTCCTGTTCAATCGCTCGAGCCGGTCAAATATTCCAGACCCTCCAGGTCCTCCAGCCAGTACCGCCAAATGAGCGCCTAAGTGGTTGCAAAGTAGGGGCTGGCACGTGGCGTATCTCGGGGATTGCAACAGGAAGTCGCAAAAGCTTGTTTGTGTTTGTGTCTCTCTTGTGTCTACCAACCCTGTCCTTTGAAGCGCAGTTTCAGACGCCGCGCTTGTGATGGGCGAGGCTAGGTCTCAAACAAGCGTCAGTTCTTTTGAAGAGGACCCCCAGCTGGAGAGGAACGGAGTTCCATGAGGTGCCGGAACATTGGCAAAGTGAGACGGATGGGTTCCTCGTTGCCTTAATGATGTTGATTATCCTCTGGAAGTTTGCAACGAACAAATCCATGTGGAGACGGTAGAGGAGGACGAGTTCTCCTGAAGTGGCCCATGTTTTTGAACATGCTTTGCAACAAAAAAGAAAGCCACATCATGAATCTCATGCATGTTTCACGGCTACGCCCAGGATTCCGGGATTTGGGAGATCATTGTGACGCTAGCGATTTGTGCTGACATGAGTCTGGATCTGAGATGTGTTTGAAATTGTTTGACGTTCTAATTCCAAAAATGAATATGCACGTTTGGAAGGCCAACATGTGATAAAACATGAAACATGCAGGTTTCGGAGCGTTTTCTAACATTAAAATGAACCTTCAATCGTTAATCCACATCTCGGGATTGTCTCATCACCTTTTCTGGAAGTTAAGCAACGCTTTTGCAAAGTGTTTCACTGGCGAATCCTTTGCAAGATTTCTGTACTGCCAGCTGTGCACACATTGCATCACCTGCGGGTTCACTGAGCGGTTGAATTTGTGAGTGCTAATGACATTGGCTGGCAACCATTTATTTTTTTGTTCATGGATGTCCAGCAACTATTAGCTTTTTGGGTTCCAGCACTTTTGCTGCCTTGCTCAAAACGAAGTTCAAGGTGCCATCCAACAAGGTCACTGTAAAGATGTCAATATTGATCTACGGAAAAGGGTTCAAACGAAAGAGGGGTCCCAGTCCCAGACACTGCAACTCCCTATGTGGAGGTTCCCTAACACCACACCAACGAAACAACAAAACCAAACACAAAACCGCCGCAACATCCGACACTGTCATCCTCTAAGCCAAAAGGTCCAGTGGAAACCACAAAATTTGGGTCATGACCAGTGTTTCGGACGTGTACCATCCAGACAATATTGTGTGCAATGAGAGCATGTCAGTGCTTCAAAGAGGAAGTAGGTGATCATTTCCTGATTTGTTAAGAATTTGTGCAGTTGTTCCAAAGCAGTTTCTTACGACATGTTTCTTTTCCTCATCCAGCCTTCGCAACCGACCGGAGACAGGGGAATTCCCTGTGCCTTCAAAAAGAGTTCTCCCCTCATTGGCACGGTGAAGCCGAGCAGCTGAGGCTTGACGATTGCGAGCTTCGTTTTGCCTCCGGAAGAGTCCGACTCTTTGGGGTTGTTCCTGGCAGGCGCGGTTGGGGGAGTCCTGCAAAGCTCCAGCGGCCAGCGCGACTCGTGTGTGTTTCACTCTGGCGAACTGGCCCCAAACGACTTGATCCATATCAATAGAACACTGAGATATACTGAGATCCCCGTGGCTAGACCACAGCAATGGTCCCATCAAACGAAGGTTCTGGGAGACTGGTCACTTTGATGCACACGTTCCACCGTCCTGCGTGTCTTAGAGCTTACGCCTTTGTCTTGTTGAGTTTGTGAAAGCCTGTTGGTGCTGAACTTCATGAAGTTTTGTGAGGTGGCTTTGTTTTGTTGATCCTGGTGGTTGACGTGGTGCTCCGCATCATGAAAGAAAGATGCGACTTCTTCCTCAAGATACTGAATTTGATCCTCGGCGCAGCTGGTGCTGGTCCAAGCGGAACGGGGCACACCAGTTTCAGTATATTGAGACAATTGTGAAGCCCTCAAGAATTCTTGAAACAATTGACAGGCCTGGAGAGAGTGGTTGAATCATTTGAGAGGTGTCGGGCAGTTGCACCTCTCTTGTGCCATGCTGTTTCCCAAGATGCATGGTGTAAGCTCCATCGAAGCATGTCCTTCCTCGTAGATGGTGCAATTTGCAATTCGGATGTTTATGTACGCCTCATGACACGTGTTGACCTTTTAGTGTCTTGAAGTAGCTTGGGACGGAGTAGTGCAGTAGTATCTTGCTGAGAGCCACTGAGGCAATGGTGAATGCACACCTGGAAGACCAACATGTTTTGCAAGACTTCTTGTCAGTTGCCATAGCCCTGTTGTATTGCCTCTAATTATATCTAATTATATGCTGTATATATAGTGTTTCTTCTTCATTTGTTTGTGGCAACAGCTTCACTGATTCTATCAATCTTTATTTGTGTGGTCACCCGGTCACCCTGTGAGCCTGTGAGATCAAAATAGGCCCTTCAACTCTTGCCCCGGCGTAGTGGCAGGCGTAAGTGTTGAGGGGAAGGCGCAGATATGTGACATACCAGATCATATTGCATACAAGGAGGACCAAAGAAAGGCATGCAGCGATATAACGGCCGCCGGTGAAAGGGCTGAAGACTGAGCGCCGTGGCATCATCCCGATGCTTCGACGTGGGTGAACGGTGTGGCTCTTTCGACGGCAGGGCCTCGTTGTTGCCAAATTCGATGGAAGGCCGGTCAATCCGACCGGTTTGGCAGTACCATGACCCGTGAAATCCCAACTCGTTTTCGGCGCGGTGACAAGTACAATATGATCACCATGTTTGAATTATCCGTGGGAGTCCTGCCGGCGCACGGTGCGGCACAATCAGAATTTGTCTTGACTCATTGCTAGCTCAAGCAATGCCGAAAACTTTTTTGGGCTCGCTCTCCATAGCATTCCCTAGCTTTGCAGTGGGCTCTCCAGACAGAATCCCAAACGGAATGTTCTAGAATCCACCTGTCACAGAATCCATGGCTGCCATGTGTTGAGGATTGAATTCGTGGTGGCCATTGTGGGGCTTGTCACCGTGGTGGTGGAAGTGGAGGAACGTCTCACGGTGGGCTCCGATGGCATCAAGCAGCCGGGCGCGTCGCTGGGGCGGACCATCCGATGCTTGGTGTGCTCGGCGGCCGCACGTCGCGGGTGCAAGATGGTCCAAGAAACAGGAGGCACGTTTAGAGTTACCGCATATATATATATATATACTGTATATATATATATATTTGTCTAACAGTGACCCAGATATTAGTTAGGTCCGAGTTTAGGGAGGTCTTTTGTCTTGGTTTAAGATGTATCCCAAGAAAGAGCGCACGGTTCAGCCGCCAGTGTTTGCGCTTGGGTAGCTATGATGCCATGTGCCCAGAAGGGGTTTCTTGAACATGTTTCCTAGATTTGGGCGCTGGACTCTGGAAAGGCTTTAAGAACACAGCTCGACATCATATCACATTAGAATTTTGGTTCTGGGAACTTGGGATTTCCATCGCAAGTCTGAAGAGATGGTTATTACTGTACGTTTTTTCAATCGGAGCCCCTAAAAGCGTCCTCTGGATGCTTGTCGTGTGCTGCACCCCACCGCGGCCGTACCAAGCAGACGTGTGGCATCGTGGGACTTGAAAGAATAGTGCAGCCACTGGCTCCAGAATTCCGATGAGCATCCGATGGCCAAGTGAAAGATCCCCGAAGAGCATCAATTCAACATGGGCAACAGCGGACTGATCGAGATTTGTTTGGTGTTTTTTGGTGTGTGTGTGTATGTCTTGCCAAGGACCTGTGCTTCGAGTGTCGGGCACTCAGGGGTCAGAGGATGCCAGTGAACCCATGAAGCATGTTCACTTGATTCCACCTGGCTAAGAGACACCCCCACGAATGGACTCATGCTACACTTACAAGGTGGGATGCACAAAGTATCACAAAGTCAATGATGAACAAGATCATACCGTTACCAATCGGTACAGTCAGTAAACAATTATCATCATTTTTGGACAAGGCCTTTACTAACCATCATTCCACTGTTACAGGTATTAGGATAGACCCAACCAATCGGCACTTCTTTGCCAGAAGGTGGCCACTTCAGATCCGTGTCAGGGTGTGAGGGGAGGTTTTTGGAGGGCCAATGAGAGCCAAACAACCACAAAACAAGGCAAAACAACACAGGTATAGGCGTTGGTTGTAGGATGTGTCATTTTGTGACCATGCATACAACCGATCTTGACTGAGGTTCCGAATCTTCCGCGGCTTTTTCAGCTTCTTCGCTTCCAGAGGCCGTGATAGATCAGTGATATCTAAATAGTAATTTTCAGGAGAGCAAGGTTGACATTTGGGATTCTGTGGTTCTTGGACTGAGGTGGCATTCGGGGTCGCATCAACAAGGGCGTGGACAGGCTCTTCGACCACATTGTCAGGCTCTGTCTGTTGGAAAGTGGGTTCTTGGGATTGAACATCACGAGGCATCGGCAGCTTTTGAGATGTTTGCTTGCGCTTCTGGTGGATCATGGAGTTGAAAACGATGGCTGGCCCACCCAAAAGTGGGTGGGCCCCCTGGTCGCGTTCCTGACTTCCTGCAGGAAGCAATTAGTGGAGTTCTTGCTCATGCCGAAGCAGAACATCAAGATCCAGCCTTCCCAAGGTGAACGACACGGAGCGAGTCGTCGTTACTCCGGGTTGGAGTTTTCGAAGAAGCAGGTCTCAGGTGAGAACATGGGTCTTGGGGACCAAAATGAGAAGAAAACCATCAACCAGCACCCTCTCCCTAGGGATCCAAACACCTTCTCAGAAGGTGATTGGAGACACTGTTATGTGGGTGTGGAGGGTCCAATTACCTTCTGAGAAGGTACTTGGATCCCTAGGGTCTAACTAGAGGGTTGCTGAGCAGGTACCTGTGACGTCGGCTGGAAGTGGTTGGAGGGTGCCTAGACATGCACCACTCCAACCCGGCGCACCAACCGGAGACTGAAAGGCATCCTGCACATCGAACGGGCCCAGCTGCGTTCCTCACGGCTGCCTGGCGAGGTGAGGATTGATGAAACCCAAGCCGCTACGGAGCTATTGATAGATGGGTTTCAGATAGAAATGCACAAGTGCGGGTTTGATTGAACCATATTCCATCCTTTTTTCATTGTTGGAGACGTGTGTCTGGAATCAATTGAAGAAGCGGCCTCGCCTCAGCACCGCGCCCAATGAGGCTGAACAATCTCCATTTGCCATTGATTTTGACAGCGGGCATTCTGGATATGGTGCACCTGGAGCTCAAAATGGTGAAGCTTAACGTCGGGGACTCAGTCGAAAAGTACGCTAAATGCTTAGTATGCCAAGGTTGGGGTGTAGTCCTCGCGACGGGACCGCATCTCGTCTCCAGAGATTGGGTGCCACACAGCAGAACGTGCATACATCCAATAACATCCAATAACTACTCCCCGGCAAAATTAACATGGAACCTGAAAACCACTGGTTTGTGGAGGAAGCTAGTTTTCCACAGGTCCATTTTCAGGTTCCATGTGCATGTTCGGAATTCAAGCCTAGTGGCTGATGACTTCTTGTGAGGCGGGTCATCACCGCCTGATGGTACTTATCCAAAATGTGATCTTGGTGATGGGCCCTGGACGGAGCGAGGCAGGTATTGTGGGGGAAAAAGCTGAGAGCCTCACCAGATAAGATAAAATACATTATATATTCTTGATATGATATGATAATGTAGACTGTTGATGATTCTCCCCCCATTATGGATGGCAAGACATCTCCATATCATATGGCGGATTTTTGCGCTTGACTACTCCATGTCAGTGTGTACTGCGGATGAGGTTGGTCATGCCTTGCAAAACAGCACGTGGTAGTGGTAGGTCTCGGTTGTTCAGCATTTGAGCCGCATCCCCTGCAGGAAAGATCATCAGATTGGAACTTCCATGACGTCAAGGCTGCTAAGACCAAGACCATCAAGTTGGCCTCCAAGCTTCTAGAAGCCTTTGCCCCATGGCTTTGAGGCGGACAGATCCAGGTCCAGGATAATTACTCCTGAAGAAGTGTTGTCGAAAAGGATCCGCAGAGTGGTTCAGCGAGTCCCGTCCTTTCCGAGTAAGCCAGTGACATGTGTTTTCACAGTATGTGTGGTCGTAATTTTTGTTTTTTTTGGGTCTTGTGATGCCCAGCAACATCAAACTCGCATGACTCATCATACTCCAACTTTGAGCCTTTGGATATCGCAGCTCATGATTTTGCCTGAAAGATCCCTCACCAAGGAGATTCGTTTGGCCCATCCCCTGACCGGACCCCCTAAGGCCAAGCCCCCAAAGCAGCCGGCGAAGCCCCCGCCGCAGCAGATGCACGGCTCGGTGCGCGTGCAGAAGGAGGCCGGCTCCAGCTGGCTCCGCCGGAAGTTGGCCAAGCTCCTCCGGGACATTCTCAACAACGGACGCTTGGACAGGACATACGTGTGATGCGTGTGCGGCGGTGAATCAGGAGGATGGCAGGTGTAGGCGCGTGGTGATGGTGTTCTTATCAGCACTCAGATGCTCACGTCACGAATAATTTGACAGTTGGATGTCAAGGTCCCCACATGTTTGCAAGGCACACTTACTTTACAATTACTGTACTTATTATGACTTATTTCACACTTGTTGAATTTTGATGGGATTTTCATGATCAAACATCATCTACAGGGTCATTCCATGCATGAACCGATGGTTCACCGCCACGGGGCAGCGAGGCATGCAAATTGCCATCCACGACTTTGAGATCCGCTACGAGGACGAGAACTCGGGCATCTGCGGGCCCTATCGAATCTTAGGCCGCTTGGCGAAGCTGTGAGGGCAGATGGGCCATGACTATCCATGGCATTTAGAAAAAGAGGCCTAGTGGGCAGAGCCCCCGTTTTCCCAAAGGCTTATCAAGCCGATCTAATTATGTGAGATTGGATTTTCCCGATTTTCTCGAGCGACGCATAAAGCTTGTAATCGTATACCTAGCCAGTTCAGTGACGAACCTTTCATTTTTTGCATCCCTGCGATTGCTTCGATGTGATGCTGACCAGCCCAAAGCCCGCTGGCCCATCCAGTGTGTCCGCACCGGTGATGCCAACCATTGGGCGGAACAGGACATTGCACCTTGCTATCGTTTGTCAAAATGTTGTATTTCCAGATCAAATGTTGATGTTGTGTTCTATGTTGTGAGTTAGTTTTTTGGTTTAATGGGGATTGGTGATGTGTGAGAAGATTTGTTTGCAGTGGCAGAGGTGCGTGTGGCAGTGTGGCAACTAGCATCACACAAAACATTCCCACAACACCCATCCCACCTCCAACAACTTACACATATCCAGCACACCCACCAACATCCATTCTACAAGCTGTAGCATGGGCCACAAGCTACACCTTGGAACGTGGAAATGTCCAAGGTTCATTTCCAACAGCAATGTGTTCAACATTGTTCAACATAAACATTAACAAACCTCTTTCCACAACATTGGCTACAACATAGAAATTTCCAGAACCGTTTTCCACAACAAAAAACATCCAAAACAATTTTTCTTTCACAACACTAACAACAACATAGTTCAGAACTCACACGGACTTGTGCAAACAGAGATAGAGAGGAACGGATTAAATGAGGAATAATGTCTTAACTATATGTACAATACAACAATGCCATACTTAACGTATGCTACTTACATTTGTCACATTTGGGTCCTGCATGGGGTAGGTACTATTCCGTACATGGATGGTTTGGGTATGGTCAAACATCCAGTTGGATTGGTATGAATTGACCTTTTCCAAATCCAAGCAGGAGCGAGAGCTCTGCAGAGAGTGCTAACATGTAAAACAGATGCAAATGGGCGTTTGTCAACGACAATCACCCTATATGACGTGGTACTCCGTTTCATTCTAGGGACCCGCAAGGATACCACGGACGGAGCGACCGTGGCCCGAGTCGGAGGCGGCTTCGTGGTGGACAGTTTGCAGCTGCGCGCCGTGAGTGCGGGGCAGGGCCATGGTGACGAACAGCATCTCTTCCGTGCGAAAGGCGGACGGTTTTACCGGTCATCGGGACGATGCACCGGAAGGAATAAGCCGCAACATAAGCACATGGGAGATCGGAGAACCCATCAATATTCATAAGCCATGTAGACTGGTAGACTTAACAAAGCCCCCCCCATTTGGATGCACGCACCAAAGCCGAGTCTGTATCGCTGATATACACCGCCCCTTGCTACGTGTTGTAGTGGGGCGGGGCCCCCGGATTGAACGATCGCTGTACGTGTGGGGGGTCGAGACATGGCGGGTCAGCAGGTTCTCAAAAGCTCGATAGACCTGCGGATTGGAAGATGCCCCCGTGGATGGCATGGCCCTTTGGGAAGACGGTAATTGTCGATCACCAAACAGGGTGTGTCAAGCTGCATCGTTTTTGGAGGGATGGTTATGTTTGTCCTTTTAGTTTTGGATTGCAGTAGTTGTGCTGAAGAGTTGATCTGGAGATATTCAATTGGGTTGACCGTGCTGTTAGTCTAGACCCGAAATGCCTCTTAGGATTGAAGAGGGAGTAGACAGAGATTAAACATGGTGGACGAGGCACATCACGTGCCTATAATGTTCCAGACTATTGACCCGGCCTTGTTTCATGGACGCCTACAATCAATGTGACCTACTACGTAGCGTCTACCAACAATGCGATGCTTTCCTGGCGTTTTTCCCTTATTGTTTATTGTAGCATATGCCGCAGGAAAGTGAGATAGGACCAGTGAAACGATGGGTGGGGAAAAACGGGGAAATAATCTATATTATGCCACACCTCCGATCTCATCAGGTCAAAACATGCAGAAATGACCCTGGCACACACTCTGACATTGGTTTTCAGTTAACTCAATTTCCAGGTGGAAGGAAGGTGAAAGAACCGCATGGCGAAAGGTCCAAGCATTTGTAGGTGTTTTAACAAAAGAGTTTCTCACTTGACTGCGGTGACATGCTGCAAAACGCGCGGCTGCTGAAAGCGGCTGAAGGAAAAAGGTTTAGGGGAAGTATCGTGGAACTACCATGAAAGCAAAAAAGAGAGATTGGAACAGCTTGGGCAAAAGTTCAAAACTGTCGCAGGTACGCCAGACTGATCAGGTCTGGTTTCACTGCCAATTGCAAGCGTCTTCGTTGGCAGGAGACTTGCAAAGGCACTCCTGCCCCCTGCGAAAGTAAGTAACTAACAACAGGGAAAAGGAAACTCTTAGTTACAGACGGTTACAGAGGGTGACGCACACACCACGCCGATTCCGGCGCCCATGTTGCAAGTGGTGACTTCTTTTGTTTGTGAAAAGGTGGTGAATTAGAACATGTCTGATCGCAAATTGCATGTGTTGGAAAATAGGACACTGTACACGCTTGAAAGTCAAAGCAGGCTGCAAAAAAACATACAGTCATGCAATCGAATACTTCTGTCCGTACAAGCCCGGCGGCTGTTGAGGCAGTCGATCCAGTGGTGAAAAGGAAGCGGTTAAGATAATCCAAGGTTTGGTGGAAAAAGGGAAGCTGTTACACGACTTCCAGCATGATTTCAGCGCCCCAGTGACGGGGATCACACCCAGCACCCAAGTGGGACGGCTGAGCGAATCACACTCTGACATTGGTATTCAGTTAACTCAATTCCCAGGTGGAAGTAAGGTGAAAGAACCGCATGGCGAAAGGTCCAAGCACTTGTAGGTGTTTTAACAAAAGAGTTTTTCACTTGACTGCGGTGACATGCTGCAAAACGCGCGGCTGCTGAAAGCGGCTGAAGGAAAAGGTTTAGGGGAAGTATCGTGGAACTACCATGAAAGCAAAAAAGAGAGATTGGAACAGCTTGGGCAAAAGTTCAAAACTGTCGCAGGTACGCCAGACTGATCAGGTCTGGCTTCACTGCCAATTGCAAGCGTCTTCGTTGGCAGGAGACTTGCAAAGGCACTCCTGCCCCCTGCGAAAGTAAGTAAACAAACAACAGGGAAAAGGAACTCTGAGTTACAGAGGGTGACACACACACACATTTATGTTGTTCCATAATGTGTGAGATTGCATTTCAGGAGGTGTTTTATATTAAACCACGCATGACCTAGGGGTACGCCACCAACATAGCATGTGGGATTTAGGGGGTGAGATGGGAAAACGGTATTCTATTCTATACTGTACTGTTGGTGCATGTGCTGGCAGAACGTCCGCACCCCCTATGTCATCCTGCTGTGTACTAACCACATTTGGCAACCCTGTCTACTGACTGATGGCTGGAACGCTGTGGCCCGCAACTCCTATGTCACTAGCCCAGCAAATTCCTATATAGGGTTATAAGGAATTGATGATGCATATTTGGTTTCTCCTGTTTGGCATGAAAGAAGGATGAACTTCTGCCATAAAAGGTCAGAATAATATGATACTGTATATGCTTTGGAGATTTCCCAAAAGCTATGTGTGAGAACAAGTCGTCACATGGAGATAGATCGCTGACCCACATGTCAAAAGAATAGGTGAAAAAAAACACACACATCTTGGCCTGACATAATGGGGTCCACGTTGATACAAGGAGATGGCCAGTTTGATGGCCTCATGTTGCCAGGTGATTGGCGTGCTGGCTTAGGGCAACCAGAGGACTATGGCCGGTCACCCTCCTCCTGGCGGACAATGGTGCCTCAGAGAGGATCACAAGATTTTTCTATGCAAATCTTGTAGCATAAGCTAGATGTTACCTTTCCAGGGGGGTCCTCGAGAGTAGAACATGCACGTCTCAACTTGGGGTGGCCTCGGCATGCCTCGGCCTCCGAGTCCTTCCGCAACACTTTCTCCAACCCGTTGTTCGGCAAGACGGCTCCGGCACCGAGCATCTTCGACTTTAGCGGCCTGGCAGAGGTGGTCTATGTAGAATTGAATAGAGACAATAGAGCATTAACGTACAGCCTTCCTTTGCGCATGTTTTTGGGAGGCTCTCAGATTCTGGAAGCATCAGGATTGATTGAGTACAGTAGGTAATTAGATCCCTCCGTTTCTGGACAAACATGATCTTTGGGGGCACTTTTCCAAGTCCATGATTTTTCGGACATTCCAGACTGTGTAGTTTTACCGGTGATTTGCATCAATTAGGGCTATGGACATCCTTACTCGGTGGGAGGACATGGGTTCTTTCTCAGCTAGGGCTCAAAGAGAGATCGTCCGTCATGGCATCGTTAGCTCAGCTACGTGATGCCTACCGGGCTGATGCTGCGGAGTTGGCAAAGTTCTTGGATCAGCTGTGCTTGACCCTTCAGCAGGGCCAGGAGGGGTGGTTGGCCAAAGATGCGGTTCTTTTCAACGGAGACGGTTTGTAGGAGACACAGTTTGCAGAGCACTCATCGTGAATTACATCTTGCATCATCGTTTCAGTTGTCATGATGTGAACAGGTTCTCAAAAATGACCTGAAGGAGATGCAGAAACGCTTGGCAGACGCTGTCGTCCGCCTCGATGCCGCCCACCAAGCCAGCGAGGCCGGCGGCCAAGCCGAGGCCTGTGAGGATGCAGCGCCGGTGAAGCCGGACCGTGCGGTGAAGGCGACGCCGAATCCCACCGTGCCGACGCCCTGCAAGGCACCACCTCCCAGCCTCCGGACGCCCGTGAAGGCGAAACCCATGGAGAAGGACTCCAAGAAAGAAACCGCTTCGGGCACCGCCCCTCCCTCATCAAAAGCAGCGCCGCCATCCCTGACCACTCCAGTGAAGGCACCTCCACCGACGTTAAAGCCCAAGGAGGCCAAGGTGGAGAAGGAGGAGAAGGAGGAGAAGGTGGAGAAGGTGGAGAAGGAGGAAAAGGTGGAGAAGGAGGAGAAGGCGGAGAAGGATTCTCAAGAGGAGCCTCAGGGGGAAGAGGAGGCTCCTCCTCCTCCACCACCACAGCCTTCTTCAGGGCCTTCAGTGGTGGGCTACAAGGCGCCACCGCCAGGAATCGGCAAAGAGAAGGATCCAGCTCCTCCCGTTGCCAACGCTGGCACCGCTTCCCCTCCGAAAAGCCCCGCCGTCAAGGCAGCTCCTCCCTCACTGAAGAGTCCGACAGTGATAACAGCGTAGGCAGCTGAGGACAAGAGAAAATCTTGGAGACAGTTTTGGGTCGTAGCTGACGATCTGGGAAATTTAGGACGACAAGACGCTGATCCGATGTGCAAAAGAGTCGCTTTGTTCATCTCTTTTCAGCGTTGGAGTGCTTTGCCAATGTTCCAGCGAGATGTGGTGAAGCTCTTCGATGTGACAGGTCACACGTCTTCGGCAGTGTTCGTTGGTTTCGAGCGCTCAGCGATGCAATCCCAGGTCATGGTGTACATGGGGGTCTTCATGGATATGGAATCAAAGTGTTTTGGGATGCTTGGCATTGTTTAGCACTGACACATCTGAGAAGGCCAATCAATCAGAGTACTTGGAGGTTGGCAAACACAATGAGTGGGCCAGAATCCGACTCACTAAAATTGAAACGAATGCAACACCTGGGCGGCAAACCTGGGCTGGAGCGGGACATACGAAGGCATGTGGCCCACAGCCTGTGGGCCCACAGCATGTTAGTCTTGCTAGTAGGGCTGGAGAGACTGCATGCATGGTCCCGTTTTTGGAACATGCTAGAACCGAATCCATCCCTGTTCTCAGCCCAGGAGATGTTTCCAATGGACCGGAAATGCACCATGAGCAGTGATGTGCTCAAGGATGGTAGCTTTGCTGCAATAACTTTGGCATGATGCCTTCTTCACCGATGTGGCAACCTTGCGCCCGACCCACACACAGAGGGTTGGTTCGTTGTTCGCATCCACTCCACCTCTCAGAGACCCCTTACGGTTCGTGTCCGTATCTCGTGTCGAAGCGCTCCTGGACGCCGGAGGTTTACTTCAGATCCCACTGTAGTGGTTGAGATGAGGACGGATTCCTAAAAGTCTCAGTTTCTGGGTTCAACATAGACCCCGACAAAGCCCAGTGGTAGCCGGTAGGACCGTTACATGACCATGACACAAAGAGCACACCTGAAAGCACTATATGTACTCCCCCTCCAACAATCCTTGAAGTGGACAATGGCCCCTTGGAAGACTATGTTCCTCTACCAAGAACGTGTTGTCCACTTCCATGATTGTCGGGGGAGGATATAATCGATATTAAATTACTATATACTGTATATTGGATATAAAATACTTGTTTTATCTTTTTTTGGTGAGTGTGTGTCACCAGCGACCCGTGGTGCAGGAGAGCTCGACCATCATCGTAATTTCAGTGTCTCACTCCACACTTGTCAGAGATGCACCTTTGCCTTTAAACTCTTGCCCGCCCCCCCCCACAACATGACCGTTTGCAGGATGGTTGGTCAGGGTAGTAAGGCCCTTAGTAGGGGAGCAGAAGAACACGTCCATCCTTTGCGTTCCACGGTGGGATTATCTGTGGGATTGCTCAGGGCTGGGTACGACGACTGCAACGTCACAGTTTAGATTGCGTTTGCAGGAGGAGAGCGTCGTTTAGAGCATTGGGAGGGGACTGACTGGCGCATCAGCAACCACCCTCATGAGGAGCTCAGTCAAAACTGTCGCCATGGGACCGGGACCGGCGATGCTTGCAGGATAGCGGGTGCAGTGTCACTGAATTCCTGAAGACACGGAAGTTCCTGAAGATGTGGGAGCGGTTGCGCTATGGGATTTGCACCGTAGTAATGCAGCGCATGCTTGAGGAGAAGCAAGGTTTCTGAACTGCACGCAGTCGGATTGAATTGAAAAAACCATGAGCACTGCTTCGGTTCTTTGCGTTCTTCTCGTGTTCTTGTTGGTGATGTTGTTGCTTTTCCTATACCTTTGTGTGTCCAATTCTTTGAGATCTTCCAGGATGACCGTCCTAGGTATGGATGCGGTGTATGTCTCCTCACATCGGCTGCGTGAGAAGGCCCGGCGGCTGCGTGACATCATTGGGCAGTACAAGTATTTGGTCCCTGGGCTGCAGATGGGATGGGTAGCTTCAGGCATCTCAAGCTGTCTGGACAAGGGTGACATCAGACTCTCTCAAGCTCTCAAATGAGAAGTGAATGGCCATTTTGGTTTACAACTTCGATGACTCCTATTATAATTATAAGTTATAAGATATTTAATTCATGTTTGGCCCCTTCTTCGCATGCAATGGGCCGGAGACGAAGTGCAGACGACTGGGTATCTCCTTTGGATGGGCACAGGGTCCTGGGAGTGCTAGGCCTTGAGCATCAATTGCATTGAAACCGGCTGAAAGTGCTTCTTCCTCAGGGGTAGACTGAAGCCGCGACCTCTGATTTCCTCTTTGGTTTGTTGATGTGCGTTTTCGGCTCTGAAACACCACCCGCTTGCTCAAAACGCATGTTCTGTCCAGACATGTTATTGTCCTCAAGCCCTGCCGGGGCCCTAGGCTGCGGCCGGACCGTCGTGGGTTTGAAACGGTGAACTCCTTCTGATCTGACCAACATGCGAGGGTTTCACATGGCAAAATGCAGGGTTCTTGTGGTGTCTTGCGTGGTTTTACCATGTTTCACCCATGGTGTTCCTCGTGTTCGTTGTGTAGGTTGAACCGTGCAACTTTAGCATTCACTTTGTAGCTCGACCCTTCCGTGGCAACGGCGACGAACCTCATTTGGATTTGGACGTCAACATCCAGGATGATTTGTAGGGTGCGGGTGGGCAGCAGCAGGGCCGAAGCAACACGAAATTGGCATTTAATGGCAGTCAAGCAGGTGCACCATGGCAGGCATTCCCACAGGCTCCTGCGGGATGGGTGGGCTTTTGGACAACATGAGGGAATTCGTAGACACTGTTGATAGAAATGATTCTTATGGAGACATTTTTGAAACATGCGAATGCCATTTAAAAGGCTAGAGGTTCTCAGCGTGCTCAGGGTTTGCAGGATTTGACCGAGCCTTCCAGGAGCTATCCCTTCTGCTGGACATGAAGCAGTTGAAGGGCTTGGCTGCAATCCTGGGCTGCTAGGCAACAGGCTCCATGGGTCATCCCAGGCAACAAAAACTCTGCAGATCAAAGCTGTTCAAGTCCTGCACTTCTTTCCCCCTACTCTCCAAACACTTAACCATGGTGTTGACCCGTTTCGTCCTAAATGAGGCAACAGGCTCAGCACGGTGGGAGAACATCACACCGTTCTAGTCTCCAAGTGTCCCATGCTCGCCGCCGCGCCGGTCCCCAGGCTACCTGCAGAGGTGGATGCGGCACGATGCGCTCTTTCAGTGGAAGCCGGTGCCGGCGGAGTTCCGGCACCTGGGCGGAGTGCCCGGCACGACTGGGCTGGGCGAAGGGGCTGGGCGGACGAGGCGGAGAAGGTGTGGGTGAGTTATTGTGCGGTGGGGAGGCCAGGTTTGGCGAGCTTCGATGAGGTCTCCGGGAAGATGGATAAAGATTAGAAGTAGAAGGCCAGATACCGTATAAAGACACACTTCGGGATTTGGAGACCCTCCAACTCATTCGTCAAACCCCAAAACGGCAGTTAGAACGCCAACATTTGGCAGCAAACCTTTGAATTGTGTGTGTACGTTTGCGCGTGCATATGTTGTCCTTTGCTGGCCAGACGTTTTTCAGGAACTCGGCTGACATCTCTGGCTGCGGGTTGACCAGGGGTCGATTGCTCTGGGCCTTCGCACTGAAGCTGGTGCCACTTAGCCCAACAATGTTCGCAGCAGCTAAGAGGCCTTCGTGCAATGTTCGTGTGAGGAGGTCATCGTTTGAAGATGAACGAACATGCATGCTTTAGAACCTGAATCGGACTCTTTTCTCAAGCGTGATGTTGGTGGAATGATCCAGATGTTTTGTGTCCTGAAAAATCTATTGAACATTTGATGATGTGTTTTTTGCATGCGGCTCTCCTGCATTGAGAGATTCCTGTGCACAACCTTGAGGCTACAGAGCATCCATCCCAAGTACTTCTGGACTTCCCTCGCGTGGATCCACATGCGCCGTGGAGCTTCGATTCGGCAAGCGCTCTTCGAAGCATTGTCAGCGAGGAGAGGGCGTGCTGGCGTGGGATGTCAGATCATGTCAGATCCTACCCGCAGCCGGCTGACATAGCCCAAACACAGGATTATAAGATATTGTAAAGAAGACATTTCATAATATATATGTATATATACACATAATATGTTTTATTCTATGTTTATACTATATATATAATCTATATTTGTATGTTCTGATTGATTTGTTTTCATCCAGTGAAACAGTTATAATTGCTTACTGTATAAGACCTTTAGATTGTCATTCCATAGGAATGGGGCCTGCAAAGGTGTGGCCCTAAGCAAAGGGACATCTCACCTCAAAGAGACCTCACCCTCTCATGCGAATGCCGGGGAGTGGCAGTTGGCTCGGACGAGAAGCAAAGCCGCAAAGCCCAGTGGTTGGAGGGTCTCCCTATTTTGCGCAACATTGCACAACCATGTTCTTCGTGCTTTGAAGCCTCGGACATGTCCGATTTCAGGACTGTCGACCAGGAACGAGTGCAAGTGCTGCAAGTGAGTCTTCCATTGATAGAAGCTAAATTGCACAGGGTGTGAGATCGGTAAGGGAAAGCATCGCGGCTGCCGTGGCCTCGTGTTCTGGACCATTGCGAAGGAGCATGTTTGGACGATTCGATCCGAGGAATAAGACCTGCCGACTCAAACGCCCGATTTGGCAAACTAGTGACAGGAGCGAGACCATTGGTGTGAGTCTGCGTGAGCCGAGGAATGCTTGGCTGTGCGGCGAGAGTTCCTGATCCAACAAGCTAGGAGGCACATGAGAATGCAGCTGCAACATGCTGTACACAATGGCAGTGTAAGAGCTAGGGCGGACAGAATTGATGGTACCTTGAAAAGCCTTGGGGAGCTCTCAACGACCACTTCCATGGCCACATTTTTCCTCGGACACGGCGTGGCCGTTGACAGGAAGAAGGAGGAGTCTTACTTCAAGCGTGAAGGGCGCTTTGGTCCTTTTATTTTGCTGACTTGCGACCAGTCTTGCTCGGTATGACACATTGCGCAGCTCTTTTAGGTCCAAGAGTAGTCAAATACTTCAAGCAGTTTAATTTTTTAAAGTACATAATTCCATAAACATGTTACCCCTTCAAACTGTGGAGCAGCTGTTTGACCATTGATGTGTATTGCTGCCGCAGAAGCTGGCTCAGGAATTGCTGCCCTTGCCGGAGAAAGACGCCTGAAGAGATGGCCGAGGCACTCAGAACCGAGCGTTGGAGCCCCTTGAAGCCTTACCCTCCAGGCCCTCAAGGCACCCCTGGCTTTGGACCTTCAATATCCTTCAATCATCCAACCTTGAACTATGCCCTTTCACAGGCACAGTGATCCAAAACACAGCGTCAAACATGCTGAAGACAAGTATCAGCGCAGGCGAAACCAAAGGAGTTGATGTTCTTCCAGTGGAAATGGTATGAAATGGTTTCCATCTCCACCCGACCAGGCGCAGGAGGAAGAGCAGGCTCGAGCTGACACATCAAGATGATGAACTGCTACTTTTGGGTGCCCTGTTAACGAAACACCCACATCCCACGTCACCAAGACTACGGAATGCCCGGCGGTTTCTTTGAGGCATCATGAGGAGTCATTGCTGTTAAAAGAACACTTATGTATCCGAAAAGAGATTGGCAAGGTATAGGTGGCTCATGGTGGCTCATTAAACTATATGTGTTATTTTGAGTTCAATTTTGCTTGTGTGGGTCCGAAAGGCGGTTATGGCTGTTGTGAGCTCGCATTGTGGAGACACCCCACAATCTTCCACAATATCAAAATGCAAAGCATGCTTATCTCCAATCGCTACACCCTTTATACTCGTGTTTGGCGGTTTGCCTGCAGGACGAGGAAGAAGGCCCGGTCTGCACAGCCGTCTAGGTCCAGAGCATGTTGAGAGCTGGTCCACTTGGCCCTGGTGAAGAAACGTGGACATACGTGGAAATGCCGTGTATGTTCCCGGACCAGCAGACCAAAGACTACAGCAGAAACTGATAGTTGATGCAAATTTCCACTTATGAGGTCTTTTCACCTTCAAGAGCAGCCTGTGCGGGATGAACATGGATGAACGGTCTGGGGAAGCTGGGCATTTATGCTGTAGCCCATAGGTCGTCTTATATAATTGCATGCAATATTATGACATGACGATGAATAGATGAGCATTCTTGTGTGTGTGTGTGTGTTTTGTATTTATATTGTGGCACATCGACCAGTTGTGAGACTTCCAGAAAACTCTTTGCTTCCTGAAGAAGCCAGGCTTTTTGCAAGCATACCACGTGGCTGCATAGACACAACAACATGTTGAAACGTAAAGAGACCTGCTTTCTATACCTGGGACGCATCTTTTCATTGAAGCCTTATAGAAAACGGGGAGTTTTATACTTTTATCCTCTAACCGTAACCAGATCCCAGTAATTCCAATTGAGGAATGTGATGCCATCACTGGGGCAACATTTTTTCTCGACCCATCTTCTGCTTCTTGGACGTCTTTTTACAGTGGACAGTGGCCGCTTAGGGCTCTTACAACCAACTTTCACGGTTTCCACGGCAGGTGACTCGGACATCATTGATGATGAGTCCGAGGAGAACAACTCAGACAGTGGGGAGATCCCGCCCAATACTGAGGCCATTGAGGCAAGCAGACGTGCGTTGTCGTGACCCGATCGTGGTCACTCCACCAGTGCCAAAACCAAGCCGTAATGACTTATTATATACTGTATATGTAGTAGAGGAAGCCAACTTGCATAGAAACTAGGGCCCCAGCTCTTCCACAAAATTCTGCGGATCCAACATTGTGAACTAGTAATTTTTGCTCATGAAATATGTGACAGCATGCAACTTTGCAGCTTGGGTAGGTGGGAATGACCAGCTACACAATGCAAGGTCGTGGGTAAGATGATGCAAGATGGAAACATGTATCTTTTGCAGATGGAAATGGCTTTGGGGCACCGGATGGTGGTAGGCCACCTTTCGTCAAGCAACACTGGCAGGTCTTGCCAGACATCAAGATCGCGCCACGTAGCCCCACGAACACGGTTCCTGAGATGCATCAGTCATCACTTGAAAACTGACTTGAAGGAAGCTGGTGAGAGGTGTTGTCTTGAGCATCAGGTGCTGGCTGTATCAGGCTATACTGTACTATGTGTCTTTAGAATTCTTTAGTTTGTTTTAGAGCTCTTCCCATGATCGTAGCAAGGCTGTGCACAATTTCTTTATGTGGAATATTTGGTTGTTCATTTCCTTGGGCTTTGATACCTCAAGTCAGACAGGCCGCGTCTTTTGTCGCTCAGGCAGTGTCTGCAGGAACTCCTGAGAAGGAGGAGAAGGAGCAGCGACGGATGTCGCTCTGGGGTAGTCAGAAGCGTCCGAAGGACAAGCGCCTTGGAAGACGGTGGACGAGTGGATTCGATTCCTTGGAAGATGGTGTTTCTGGGCGAAGATCCGGTGATTGTATAGTTCATTGAATAGAAGGTTCAGGATGATTGAGGATGGTCCCCAGGTTAGGCACCGAATGGCACATTTTTTAAAGAGTCCCTGGCCTGAATCTATCAAGAAACAGGACCATGCTCGGGCATTGGAGCGTGTCCGAGTCAAGCTGGGAGAGTCGTCTTCGAGCAGATCATTCCGCACATGAACCAGCTTCTACCAACCAGCCGTTTGGGCCATGATCCACCCAGTCCTACACGGGATGCTCTTAGACAGTTTGCACAACATCCTTGTTCCATTATGCGGTTTTAGACTCTTTTGAGGACATGCAACGTGCAATGTGCTGCTTGCGTGCTGCTTGTGTGCATCAGTGTGCTGCTTGTTTGCCGCTTGCGTGGTGCTTGTTTGCTGCTTGCGTGGTGCCTGTTTGCTGCTTGTCTGCTGCTTGTCTGCTGCTTGTCTGCTGCTCGGCTTGGCTTGTCTCGTCCTGTTTTGTCTTGTCTTGTCTTGTCTACTTCAGCAGAGGAGTTGGAATGATCTGATACAACACCAAAAAGTGAATTGCACGTGGTAATAAAATCTGTAAACGCCTTATAAACAGGAGCCTGATGTGGCCCGGTCGCATGAGGCCCTTCCATGCAGATTAGCAGCATGATTAGTATCTTTCCAGTCACCTGATATGACCAAAGTTGACAGTATTTGGACCACCCATGGAAACCTCTAGTAGGCATAAATTGAACTCCGTTCGCACGCGTAACTCCAGCCCGCAACCCAGCACCGAGCACGATGCCAAGCCAGGCTCCACAGGTGCACCAGACGTGCACCAGGACGAGGTCCGAACGGTCCGTCCGGGTATTCCGTTCGGGTTCGCCTGGACGCTTCGACATGGCCCAGGCTCGACATCAGCGGGCTGAAGGAGTTCATGCAGATTCACGTCTCCCTGCGCAGCCCGGGCGGAGTTCGCGGTCGACCGGTGGACGTGGCGAGGAAGTCGTGTGGAGTTGTATGTCTTAATGTAGGCTGAGGAAAAACATCCAGAAACTGGTTTCCTCCAAATTCCGAGGCAAGTTCTACTTCGACCTCCTCTACCCTCCCGGCCCCAACGGCCGCCGCCGCGCCATGTTGCGCTTGGGCGCCCTTTGGTGCGAGAGCTTGGGCGCGAAAGGAGCGCCGTACCGGCGCCCTGGCGAATGGACCGGGGGCTATGGTCAATGGACCGGGGTGGGTGGGAAAGCATTTAGGATTGATTTATGATTCCCTTGAGACATGGATTGTAAAGACCTCGATCTTCATATGGGGGTTAAAGTCAATCAAGAATCGACAGTCTACATTCGTGGTGAATTGCATGTGGCTCACTGTGTCAATCTGTCACAAGGCTAGGTTGCGAGGTGCTTTTTTGACGGTTCTCCCCTGATATCTGACAAATCTCACGACTGTACGATTCTTTGGTTCTTGTTACTATTTCTGCTTGGCGCCCAATCTCAGCAGAATCCGAGTTGATCTCAGCAACTCACTGAGTCACTGATCCCTTGGCCCTTGGCGCCACAAATTCTCTAGGCTTTGGTCTTGTTTGGCACCGCCCTTGGTGGTTGTGACTCTCCCAGTGGGAGACCCGTTGCTTCGACGCAGTGTGAGCTCGGTTGGCAGTGTCGGCCGAGAATTGGAGACTTGAGAGCTGTTGGAGGTGTTTATTCAATTCCTTTCGGAGTGCAGGGAGCTGGGTATTTGGATCGATTTCGGCTGGCTGTTATGACTGGAAGGCAATTGATGTTTGCTTTCAGCGCCTAGGATGCACAAGCATCCAGCCCTTGGCTTGCAGGCGGGTTGCCTTGTAGTGCAAGGTGTGGATAGCAAAGCCATGCAAAGCCAGAAGGGGGGTCCTGTGCGAGAGAACGTGTGTGCAGGTACAAGAGGCCAGCGCGGTCTTCTCTGCCGCGCCAAAGGACTGGATGTGAAATGTGAAGGTTTTTGTGGCTTGTCAGACTGTGACTTGTCATTCTACAGTGCCACAGCAACAGTACTACTTATGCGGGGGTAGCGGCCAGTCACGTACAAAGTTCGCAGTTGCATATTATATATATATAGACTGAACAAAAACTGTTCAACTACGTTCAAATTACAGAACGGTGACTCGTTCCATTTGGGCAGAGGTTCTGTCTAGGTCCAGGCTTTGATGATTCGGGCGGCACTTGAACTCCAAGACTTGCCTGCCATCACCACTCTTGAGAGGATCGACTTGTGATCCCAAGAAGAATCATCAGCGCCAGTCTTTGGGGAAAGCTGGCTGTCATTTTGACAAAGCCCAGATTCTCATTCTGCATGTGAAATACTCAGAACAGTGAAATTTACACCAGGGTCAAAACATAGAAGTGCTCGGATGGCGTTTGGACACCCTTGATGTTCGTAGAAAACCAAACAGTTTCCACGTTCAGCTGCAAGAAGGCCAAGAATGTAAAAGACTCTTTGAGGTTGAAAGTTTCGGACCAACCTAAATTATTGAGAACATGCGCGTGGGATTTGCCCATTTAGAGAAATTGTTCTTTTGCATGGGGTCCACATTGAGACAAGCTTTCCTGCTGGAAGCCTTTGACACGGGTGTTCTTTGCCCACGGCCTCTTGTATTTTGAGGCCCCATCCTTTTGTTATAGATCTTGTTTGATATATATATATATATGTGTGTGTGTGTGCGCGTGTGTAATTTTTTCGTTGAGGTCAGCGAAGAAGTTGTGCGGATTTCTCAGGAAGTCTGCTTCAGTATAACGTCAAGTCAAGTCAAGAAAGTGAGCAAAGACCCGCTTCAAACCATCAGGGTTTCGCTTCTCCCGCTTCGCCGACCGGTTCCACCAGCCATGCGGTCTCCGACCGGACTCCAGGACGGTCCTGAACTGCGGACCTTCATGCTTTTTGACGAGCACATCAGTGCGACCGCCCAGACAACGGGACCCGATTCGATGGACACAGGTTTGGGAACCTTGGGGGGACTGGGTTCGGGAGGGTGGTGCCCCATTAGATTTGGGGCAGCCAGGGCTTGCAACTGGATCTGGTTCGTTGTGGCTGTGCCAGTAGGATATCGTTGCCTTTTCTTTTAGTTTGGGAAGTTTTTCTTGCTAATAGATGATTGTGCGCAGGGCTTTGGCCACTTGGGGGTATAACATAACGCAGTACTGAAAACCTCAGTGCCATTGTGTTTTGCACTAACTGATGTGACTTACCAAACATGATGTGACTTCTTGGTTTTGGCTCTGTACCATTGGGAGATGTGACTTTACACCGCCTGATGTGAGTTAAACCCGGCGCTAGTAAGACCTGGTGAGGAAGAGCGACGTGGCTGGTGAGCGATCTGATTCTTAAACCACACGGGGATCCCGAAGACTGCCACATCCTGAAAGATCTTCATCGCCACTCTTGGACCCAGGCACTCTTTGCGGAGGGTGGTGCTATGCCCACTACAAACTGTTTAGGAACCAGGCAATCGGTCTTCTCCACTACCCCTTTGATCTCCGTGGCCATTTCTCCAGAGGATTTCGTCCGCTCACGTAGCGCGCCGGGGGGCGGGTCCATGTCGGAATCGGTGTACCGAAAGACGCCGTTGCCCGTGCGACTGGACCTCAACAAGAGGAACACGCGAGAGCAGCTGAGCCAAGGCCAGACTGAATGATTTGAATGGCAGGGATCCATGAGTTGTTTTCGGAACTTCTTTTGCCCTGCATCAGCCCTTGCAATTTTGTAAACTTGGAAGATGGGTCATGGAGGGTCATCGAAACATGGGTCATGGAGGGTCATAAAGCAACCTCCCTCCGCGACAGAGGTCATCCCGTAGCCGTAGCCCAGTAGAATCAGTATGTCAGTCGAAAGATGGTGCAGTAGGAAGGTCATGATGATTCCAGATGGTTGAACTGCACTTACAGACCTTCCTTGGTTGGTATGTTTGATGTTGGCCAACTGTTGACCAGATGTGGCTCAAGCTCAGTTAGTGAAGACGAAGATGGGTGAGGTCGAGGCTCAAGAGGTGCCATTGTATGGCGGGGCCATGCTCACCGAGTTGCCCAAGTCTTATGCTGATGCCAGCAACTTCCGAGAGGTGCCAGATCACCAGGAGGTGTGGGTGGATACATCCAGTGACCGGAGTGTCATTATCGAGGTTTTGGAGCAGAAGGAGGTGCCAGACACCGAAGCCATGGAATTCTTCCTCAACGACTTGGCCTCCTTCAATGAAGCCACAGAGGCTAAGGTCTTGCACACGAAACCTTTGGCGCCGGAAGAGGCTTTCTGGCCAAGACGTGGACGTGCAGGGTAGGTTTGGGATGTTTTGGGGGGCGTTTGGCTCATTGTTTGACTGGGAGCCCCAGCATACTTACATACATACATACACATACACATACACATATACACATACACATACACATACACATACACATACATACCTACATACATACATACATACATACATACAATATACACTACACTACACTACACTACACTACATACATACACAAACATGTATACCCATATATACCCATACATGCAAGATACATACATAAACATGCACATACATACTTACATACAATATATTTATACATAGACTAGACTACACTACACTACATAACATAATAACATAACATACCTACTTACATGGGTGTTTGAGGTGTGTATGCTTCTCGGCGGAACACATATATATATAGTCCCGTATCAAGATGTATATATGCCAGGGGATGCATACCTACGCACATGTGAAGAGACCGTCCTATATATATATATAAAGGACATAATTACATATATACATAGATACCATGAATACACAAATAATACAGCGTACCTTCAGTGCCATTGCGGGGAAGGCATTGCACCCTCCCGCACCCCCTCCCAAATTGTTGAAATGACGACAAACGGACACGCACAAACAAACAAGCAAGCAAGCAAGCAAGAAAACAAACAAAGAAACAAACAAACCAACGAACGAACGAACGAACGAACAATGACAATGACAAACAAACATACGACATACAAACAGACATGTATTGTATTGCGAGTTCGGATCCCGTGATGTTGGGCATTGTTCCACTCCAAATTGAAAAGGTGCCCCACCTCGGCTGCAGAGCCTTCATGGCGGTGGGACAGCAAATGGTGGCGAAGTTTAAGGAGGAGCGTGTGGACCCAGTGCAGATCTATGCGGCTGTCCTGCGCCTGCCAGAGGTTGGGATCAGATGACGTTTGGATTATATAATAGAGGGATTGCCCCCAGGTGTACAAGCAATAGGGATATGGAACCATATAATATGGCCATATGGAACCAAATCTAAATCGACCCCTTTGGCATTTCCTAAACGACATGTTCTATTCCCCTCCGTCCCCTCCAGGACCAAATGGAGGGTGGATGCACGGCGTTGAAATCCAAGGGCTTGGGGTTTTCTTAGAGATCCTTAGAGCATGTTTGTTGGCATTTGCTTCTGGCCATCAGAGTTGGGGCTTTCCCCTACGCAGGCCTTTTGAACCTCCGTGCATGGCGGTCTTGGACATCAAAAATCGGCTTACAATTCAAGGTTAAATGCCAAAGCCCGAAGCTGGGCGATTAGGTAAATTGCCTATATTTACAGTTATTTACTGTTTGCTCGTTTGTATGCGAGACCAATATGATCATGCAACCAGCAGGGAGTTGGGGGTTGGATGAAGAACTGTTTTGCCTTTTCGTCGCCAGGTGACCACCGACATCCTCATCACCCTGAATGATCCAGGGCACTCACATGCAGAGAGTGCAGACATGTTCGCTCACCTCTTAAAATCATTCAGGATTGTGGATTGGCAGCTCTTCGGATGAGCTGGGCAGCTACTTGGATTCCTTCATCAGGCTGGAAACAGAACTGGCATATCTTGTGGCACATCCTGATAGTGGGGGGAGACTGGAGACGGCCATGACGTTGCCATCTCCAAGCTTCGGCCATGATGCCCTCCTTGCGTTTCCTGATTGAACGATGGTTGCAAGTGGCCAATGCAGAAAGGCCATGTTAAATTCTTGGCAACGTTGCTTGAATCTATTCATAGCTGAGGTGTGCATAGATACCTGCAGTGCTTTGTACAGATCTACCTTGGCGAGAAAACGGCATTCGTTGACCAGGGGTAACCAGGGGTTCATTGAACAATATTGAATATGTCACATATGTCGTTCTGTCACCTTTGAGCTTTGAAGATGTTGAAGCTATCCTGGGGGTTGAGCCTGATGGACAAAAAGCATTTGCACAATTATATATCCAGTTGTGCCCACTGTCAGATCGGAGTTCGCAAGCCAACTCTGAATGAACTCGGTGTGGGTGCCTGTGTGTTGATCAGAGGCCACCGGAGCTGGTGCAGTCGGAACGGTCTCCAACATCGATCTTCCATGTAGAACCATGGCAACACATCCCCTCCATGTGGAGTGGCATGCCTACTGTGGCTGTCGAGCAGGTAGTTCATGGAAGCACCCCTTCGCCATTCTTTACAGATGGATGATCCATGATGATTCTTCAACTGGGTATGTGAAAGGCATCCCCCCATTAGCATTCCAGAGACAAGCTTGCAACCATGGCGGTGGTGTGCCCTGCGGACAGGGGTTCTACGGTCTTTTCGACTGTGGGAGCCACATGTAATTGCAATTCTAATTAAATTCCTTTTGTTACTAGTAGTAAGGCACTTGTCTCTAATAGCAAACATTGTTACTACTAGTAAGGCACCTGTTACTACTAGCCCGGCACTTGTTACTAGTAGTAACAATGTGGTTGTAGGATGTTGTAGGAGTACAAGATCTTCAGGGATACCCCGGCCTTCTCCCAGGCACGGATGACCAGAGGGGCGTTTTGCAGGGCGCCGGCGTGGCTTGCCCCACCACCGAGTCACAGAAGGATTGCAACGAGGTCATGCGCAAAGACCTGGAGCAATGGCTCGTAGATCATGGCATTTCAGGACTGAACTGGCCCGAAGAACGTGCGAGGAAAATCATGTGAGTATGTGTGAGTGTGCGTTGTGCCCTAAGATCTTGTTGGCGGTATGATTAAAGACCTCATTATCATGTCAGTCTCAGTCAGGAATTTAGGAGTCAGTATATTTGTGTTTGGGAGGACATTCGTCCCAGCGACTGCGAATGGCGGTTTGTAGGGGTCTGTGTCAGGACCACCTCCTTCTCCCGAGGTTGAGCAGAGAGCCATGTGGCAGTGGATTCGGGACTTTCACAAGGCTGGCCCAGCACTTCTCATTGAAGTCGTGCAGTTGCTGTCACGGTTTCATCGACTGAACATCACAGCTTTGTGGTCCAGGGACTGTCACCGGGACCGTTATTTTGGGGGCATATGGCCTCCCTGCCAGTTGACACTCAGCATGCCAGGAATACAGCGACGACTGGTACACCCGCAACATGCCTCGCTTGCGAGACCAGTTTAGGCCTATTTTTGTCCAGCAGATGAAGCGAATGCGAGAGCAAGAGGCAGCTCGGTTTGACCCTGTGCATCCTTTGTGCCACAAGCCACATGCCATATGGGGCTCCAAGAACCTTTGAAAAGGTTAGACAGTTAGACCGTTAGACCCTCCAAACCTCCTTCTCGGGAGGGACTACCTAAACCCGGGGGGGTTTATATAGGAGTCATGACTCTGAGTGTTGTGTCAATTTCTATCCGCCAGCTATTTCACATGTTGCAAGCTACGTAAGTCTTTGGTCAAGTTCTTTTCTAGTGGTGCGTGGTGAGAAGCCCGGTCTTGGCGTTGTGGGGCTGATGGCCGATAGCCAGATGTTGCAACTTGTGAAAGTCGGCGCTTGACCTCCACACAGGAACCTCAGGAACCTGTGCCGGGAGCCCATCACATCCCCTCACAAACCATACTCTACCGAGCCATTTGCGTTGGGGTTTGGTTCATTTTAGAAGGACTTGACCAGCCCGTTGATCAACCACCAGATGATACTCAGATGTATATATAGGCATATGCTCAAGAACTATCACTCAGTAACGATCTGAGGCCAAGGCCCATCCAGTGGAGCCTGCCGCTGGCGATCTCCTGGATTTGGGGCCCTACACGCCACAGCAGGCGCCCCCAGCGCCTGCACCAGGCGGCAGCGTGGACCTGCTGGACATGTGAACCACCTGGGGCCAGTCGTGGCCGCTGCCTTTGTCAGATCGAAAGATGGTGGATGCGCTTGTTGTGTGCGCATCCATATCAATCTAGTACGGTACTGGCACAACATAATACAATTTATATACTTTTAACAACTATATTATATATAGTATAGTTCTTATTTAGTAAAATAATAACGGATTTAGTGCATGCATCATTAACAGGCCTGTTGCACAAGAAGCACGATCCATAGGAACTCTGCACGGCACAATGGAAATGAGCAGGCCAAAAAATACCATGGGGTTCACAGTGACGGGCAGAGGCAGAGCATTTCAATTCGACGCCCCGTTCGGTGGGCGAACGCCCACACGTTCACGGAGCAATTACGGCCCGGGTGGACAGGAGGAACTTCTGATCAAAGGACCCTTCGTGGCCTGCACGACATTTTGCTCGTAAAGACACTCCGATTCGCTGACAGGAAAGGGTCTGTGCAGCCAGCAGAGGTTCCATGCGGACCTGAGTTTGATGCTGCCCCGATTTTCGCCCATCCCTTCAGCCTGGAGTCATGCTGAGGCAGAGAGAAGTCGCAAAAAGCTGGGCTTTCTCGTCCAGTTTTGCAGCTCCGCCCCTTGGTCAAGGAAGTTCGGGAAGTCAAATAACTTCGCTGTTTGCACCGGATCAGGTTGCCATGGCAGTGATGACAACAATGACGGCTAATTATGTGTGTATGTGTGGTTTAAGTTGAAATGACATTTTTGGTATATGTTTGCCATTTCCAGCATTCGATACACGACACATCGCATTTGATGCGAATTGGTTCCCCGTGTCTCATTCATCAAGGTGCTGCAAAGCTGAAACCCAACCCTATCTCGGAGGAGGAGGCTCGAGCAACCCCTTGGGGACGCACAGGTGCCCTGTCTGAGCGTTTCGGCGTTTCTTCGTTCTTGGTGTGGAAGAGTGGCTAGAAGACATGATCGTGATATCACAATCACATGTGATGGCCATAGCATCCCCTTAAAAGGATTTCTCCATATGTCTCCAATTGTATCCAATCGTTTGTTTACTTGGAGCGTTTGTCTTGTTTTTCTCCTTCATCTTCCCACCCAACGACGCGAACAGCACGGTCTCTCCTTCCCCGGACCCGGGCCCGAGGCGTGAAGTCGATTCCAGCTCCGTGGCGGATGGGCGTTTGCGTGGAGCCCTTCCGCGCGACGATATGCAAGTCCTTCATCTTGCGCGTGAAGGATTTCTTGTGGTCGTATTTGCACCGTGGTCGTATGAGACCGGCACTGAGACCGGCTTATTTGGGCATATTTGGGGCCAAAGGATAGACATATTGGACCAAAATGGTCTTAGTCGAGAATGTCCTCGAAGAAGTCAACTGCTAGCTGAATGGGATGAAAGATGTAAGACGCGTTACCGCGTTGCGCTGAACTTGCTCGCAAGGCTGCAAGTCAAAACGCGTCTATGGTCCTGTGTGGTCTAATTGGGAATACACCTGTTATGATATTTTATGATATGCACATTGCTGCCGCACAGACAACACAAATAGCCGAAGCAGCATCATTTGTTCTGTGCTGATGGACCAAGTCCTACACCCAGGATCCTGGGACACTATGAACACCCAATGGAAACCTACTCTCTATCGAGCCTAGGATTGTGCCCAACCTGGACCCAGCAGAGCTGACGAAGCGGGCAGATCCCAGTGCACGGACCCTAGAAGATCCCTGCCATTTGTGGGTCCAGCTGCAGGACGACCGCGACCCGCACAACCGAAGATGCAGATACGCGTGTGTTTAGGGCGCGTGGGAGCGTGTGAGTTTGGGGTGGAGGCCGGCGGATGGCTTAGTCAGTTGGGTTGACGGGTTTGAGGTCCAAGCATGTCAACTTCCTGGGCGTCCTGATTCTTCTCGGTGTTTTCGTGTCACTCTCGGTGTTTTGGGGACCGATTTGCATATGGTACATTGAGGGTTTAAGTAATACCTTTAAATTGGACACGAATTGAAGTGGTCCTGCAGAACTGAGACCGTGATTCCATGTGATTCCTATTCTTTCGGGAGTTCTCCCGGGATGATCGGTTTACTGTGTTGAGCGGTTTCGATCTCCGGTCCTGATCGCAGGAGATCCGCAAGAAGCGACACCAGCGTCACAGGCATTTGAAGTTTGGACGACGAGCCTTGGTCGACAGCGATGCGATGCAAGCGATGCAGTTGGCATTTGCAGGCATTGCGCGGCGCGTATCAGTATCAGTCTTGTGCAACAGCGTTCTTTTGTTCCTTGTGGCCGTCGCAGCTGCATCGGTGCAACAAAAAAGGTTTCTATAGATATTGCATAGACTGCGTGAGCTTGGCGTTGGTTGCTGGTGACATTGCAGTTGCGATTGTAACCCATTTTGGCAACGATCGCTAGGGATTTATACAGACAAAGCAAAGTGCCGACAAGTGGAGATTGAAGAGTATAAAATGAGTATATATATAATATATATTATATAGATTATGAAGAAGTAAGATGGAGCCATTAAATGCAATTCAGTATATAGGATAGTACCGACACCAGATAGTACCTTGGAAGAGATCGAAACGTAGAGATTGCCAGGTCGAAAAGTGGATTGCTCCAGTAGAATATGTCTACCAAGAAGAGTGCACTGGTTGGTGTTTTTTTGGGTGTTAAGTATTTTGGTTGGCATTCACCAGAGGTTACATAGCGTCACTGCGTCACTGCGTCACACATCCACATCACATCACGCCGCAAGCGGACTTCTCCTGCGTCAGACGGTGTCAGACGGCGTCGGTTTCTTACCTTCGGCACCGTCTCCGTGGGATTCTGTTGGATATAGTTTGAAGATGTTTGAAGTTATGCTCGAGCTTTCTGTTAGATATAGTTTGTAATTATGGATTTTTCAGTGATGCAGAGCGCTGCCGCCGCGAACTGCCACTTGAGGATTGGAGATGGCTATGGGGCTGTTGCTTGTTTGAATCGGCCACAGCCCCCGCCCCCACAGTGCCACCCTCGAAGCTGCTGACTGGAGGAGACCCACGATGCATTGATACGACACAACCCTACCCAAGAAGCCCCAGGTGATCGTGAAACCATCGTGCCATACCAATGGATTAGGATGATTCTTATTTTTCCTCGGATGCAGGAGACTAACTCCATCAGCCGTGCTCGAAACCGTATTTCCTTGCATTTCCATTTGTTTCCTAATGTTTCCTACCTTGCACTCTGGGCATGTCAATACCGTGCTGGTTTTTATCTGGTGCACGGACGGGGGATCCTTTTTCGCTTCTGCTCCGCTGATGCGTGGAGAGCCGGGGGGCACACTGCTTTCAGGTCCAAAGTTCTTTTCCCCCCGGAGTTTCCCAGGGCAAATGAAGTGCAACACGAAGTGGACATGAACATGTTCTGCCCGCCTAAGATTGGCTCATATCACCTCAGAGGTCGAGACAACGCATTCACACCATTCAGCATCAAGATCATGTTGATGTTCCGTGAGCTCTACATCCTTAGCCCCTTTCCGCCCAACCTCTGCCAACCTTTCCCGGCGTGAAAAGGCCTCCTTCCTTTAGACATCTTTAGACTTCACCAAGCCATCTCCCCCACGCTCTGACCAAACCGTTCGAACACCCTCCCGATTCCTGCACGAACGCCATCCGACGGCCTTGCGAGCTGCCCGGACTCAGACGTGGTCCCTTTGCGGATGGGCAACGCTTTTTTGGGACGGTGATCTTCCCGGGCGGCTTCTCAGCCACAGTGCTGGAGCTCTACCATGAGAACAGGCGGCAAAGTGTTTTTTTTCTTTGTGGCGAAGGGGGGCATTGGGTGGGATGGGGTGAGGGTGGAAGCGGGTTGGTGAGAACTGACGAGACATGTTTTTGCAGGGAGCCCCATTGGAAGACATGGATGGGATGAGGAAACCTCCTCAAGCAGAAGGGCTGCAAATAGAAATAGGTTTCATTAGGTTTCTATTTTGGCAAGGCCTGCTGATGACGTGTCATGTTTGAATGAAGGCATATATCACGACTGGTCTAAAAAGAAACTCGACGGAGAAGTGTAGGCACGAAAGGAAAGCACGCACCTGAGCACACATATATAATCATAATCATATATGTACAGTGAATACTTCACCAAGACAGGTGACACTTCAATACAACTGCGCTACGTGTCAGTCAGTCATGAATTGCTTTAAAGAGGTCAATGATGGCCATGTGCCTCTGGCATTCTATCCGGCCAGTTCTACATGAAGCGTCCAAGCCCCAAACAACTCCAAGAGCTCCGGCTCCCGCACAACCTCCAAGTAGTAGACTTGTCTCGTTTTCAAGTTTCAATGCGTTCAGATGACCGTGAGTGATCCCAGCGAGGTGGATGCGTTTAACCATCAATGCACCTCCGGGCATGAATGAGTTTCATCGTCTGGGATGGCCAGTGGATGGAAGCGGCGACTTGGAAAACTGCCGGAGTTTGAACATCTTCGAAAATTCCTCGCATGACTCCATCACCCATGAAGAAGACCCATGGCCTACAGGTGTTTCATGCGTTCGGTCGCCGCTGGCTCTTTCAAGATCGCCACAGATGACGTACCGAACGGATCCGAATGGAGCATTTCCCAAGAACATAGGGGTCCTATGAAACGCACATCCTGAACATAGGGGGCCTTTTGGCCGGATGCACAGCGGGTCCCCAAAAGAAGAATCAATGGGTTGAAGCGTTTGAAGCGGTTGCGTCATCTGCTTCGCCGAGGTGGATACCGTCCCTTCGGGGCACTGGAGCCTTGTCGCTCCATCGATGGCTGGTGGTTCGAAACGGAGGAGCAATCACGGCACTTCGTCGCCTGGTGTTTGATGAAGAATGCGATGGAGTGGAGGGTTGTCCAAGAAAGACTCTTTAAGAATCCTTGGAGATTTGTGAGCCTGAGGGGGGTCTTAAAGAAGGACATGGCAAGTTGATTCAAGTAGTGATTCAAGTCTCTACAGTAGGCATCGCTATATAGAGACATTCCTTTGGCAATTGATTTCCTTGATGTAAATGAGCAGATGTGGTGAGATTAAGACTGCCCAAGGCCATTCAATCCCCAGCCAACCGTTGGCCACCCATCAACACGCCGCACTTGCGACCAGAACCTGCATGATGGCATAGGAACCTGCACAGAACCACTCTCATTCCAAGTCTAAGGCTCAAGCGCAAGCAGACGGCGGCAGAATGGAGGGTTCAGCCTGGGAGGCCACGGAAATGATTGATGCAGCTTGGGTGGCGAAAGAATGACCGTTGTTGACTCAAGTCGTTTTAGCATTACTGTAGTTGTATGTCATTTTCAAGTCACTTTCCCTCTTGTGTGGTGGATTTCTTTCCTCCTCCAAGTAGACTCACCGAGGTGGAGCATTTCTCCGCCCTGGCCGGGCAGCCGCCCCGCTTGGCGGGGCGAGGGCTGCCGCGGCAGGCGCTTCAGCCGTCGAAGGTGGCCTCCGAACAGGTGGCTGAAAGCAAGGAGAGGCCGAGAGAAATCCGAGTCATGAGGTCATAGGTGTACTAGAGTGTGTACTGGCGTGTGTGGTGTTCCAAGATGATTTTGGTACAGATGGAACTGGACTAATGGGCAAATGTGATCAAATATAGCAACATTGTATATAATACAAGGATTTATTATGGTTTTGCCTGTTTTCTAGGTGCTTTTGCCTGCGACCTCGATGGGATTCCTGAGACCGAGAGACGTCCGTTCTCGCCCCTAAAGTCGATTGCAAGAAGGAAGCTCCAGTGATCTCTTTGTGACCACCGCTGGTGGAGATTTCAATCTCAAGTGAACAGCATCCGGTGAAGCCGTTGATGCCTCGAAGCTTTCAGGAGAGGACTTTGCTGTCCTGCGCTGCTCAGGCTGGCCAGATCTGCAGAAGGATGCAGAGCTTTCGATCTGCACGCGCAACAACAAAACATCTGGACATGGCAAATGATGCATGCAAGGAAGACTGAGGTCGGGATGGGTGGATTTTTGAACCTTCCTTATATATAACTACCTAGAAAATAGAGGTCAAATGGGTTCTAGGTACAGTATATAGGTCCTGTTTGGGTACCGGTGTTGAATTGCAGCGCCGCTGCCAGGTTGCTGGACCCACGGCCATCATTGCCACCAGCATGGCAGTGGAGGCGTCAAGCGACGAATGATCTTCGAACTTGTCAGATTCGGAAAGCATGCCTTGGCTCCAAAGCAGGTTTGACTCATGGTCATGATGGGTCATGTTCGCCCATTAGGCAACATTTAGACTTGATCTATCTATAAGCCCACAGTGGATTGGTTAATCAAGAGTCTACATGAAGCAGAGCAGTCGCAGCAGGCTGCGCTGCTCGTGGGACCGTTGCAGTTGTTTCTACCCTGTTCATCCCTGTTCCACCCTGTGCAGATTGGCCGGAATGCCGCCGCGCGGCTCGCGGCCTCCATGCCCTCGTGTGGGCAGGCAGCCTCATGGGTGACTGGACCTGGGGGGCGATTTGGACCTCGGTCTTTCCGCTGGGTTGCACATTGGTGAGTGATCCCCACCCCCTATCTCTACAAAACCCGACGAGGGGGCGGGGGGGGGGGGGGGAAGGAGTGCCGTGTCCCCCCCGGGGGGGGGGGGGGGGGTCGTGGATCTCTTCGGGAGTGGCTCGAAGAGACGTGTTGCGAAACACAGGAAAAGCATGAAGAAAAGGAAGAAAGGTCTAGAGGAAAAAGGGGAAAACACAGAAATGTATTTTAAAAAATAGAGAAAAACATGAAGAGAAGAAAGAAAGGTCTAGAGGAAAAAGGGGAAAACGCGGAACGGCGTTAAGAAACCGGAACCTCCAAAAATGTAAGCTACATTTTGGGACGCCCCTAAACCGTTGGTGTGTACCTAGACATTGAAAGGCAACATATGAAAACTACAA